TAATCCGATTTTTTTTATTAATTTATATTTCTCTTTTTGATTTTAAATTAATGTTTTATTTATTAGAAAATATTCACCCAATACCATAAAGCCACCCACCATTTGCCATCACCACCACCACCACCACCGCCAAAATTACATAAATGGTCCATATGGTTTACCCATTGTCACAAATTCAATCCCTACTACCTGAAAAGACCAAATTACCCTCACATTAACGGACAAAAAACAACGGTCTATATTTTCCGGATTGGTTTTCTGGCCGCTGCCATACATGGCAATAAAGTTCAATTTGTGAGACCATTTCTTTATTTTCCTCATTTATTTATTGCAAGAAATAATGATTTAGATTTCTTTACTTATGTTATTAGATGACATTGTTTATCTTCCTTTACTAGATTATCTCAATACAATTCAACATGCTACTTTACTTTACAAAGCAATACCTTCCGACCCCGGCAACGCCGGTGAATCTTTTCTAGTTGAAATTAAAGTACATGTCTCTTCTATGCAATTTCATGTTTTCTAAATTCTAAAATGTCTATCGACACAATAATCAACTTGATAAAAAGAAAGAGGGAAATGGCTTATCAGGATAATCATCTTTATCGATTTGTTCAGATTTAGGTAACTTCTTTATTTTTGTACACATTTGAACATTTAACTTGTTATATGTGTTTACATATTGTCATTTTCACCAGCTATAGCAGGTGACAATGGTAATATGTGAACAAATTAGTAAATTAAATGGTTAGATGTGTACGAGAAAAGAAAGTTGTCTAAATGTGAACAAAACGAAAAGTTAATTATCCTGATAAGTTATTTTCCCCACTTTTAAAAGCAATTTTATTTTTATATTTGTTTGTATTATTTTTTTCAAACGTTATTTTTAAAATATCCATAATTTCCTAAATAATAATTAAATATTGATCAATTTTAAACTTTACTTTTTAATTATTAAATATGTTTTGTTTTGTGAAATATTTTATATAGTCTTTTATAATTTTTTTTCTTTTGTTTTTAAACATATCCAATGTTTTTAAAGTAAATAGGATCTAACAATAAAATTAAATAAATTAAATATGTAACAATAAGTATGGAGAGTCTTTTAAAAAAATTAAAAGAAAATATTACTTAGCAAATAAAAAAACAAAAAAAAAACTATATAATGTACATGTTTTAAAATTATTCCAACTTTTTAATACTTTTTAGTTAGAAGTTTATAAACTTTAAATTTTTTAATACAACGTTTAAACTAGTATTTAACGAAAGTATTTTAAAATATTATAAAAAATATTTAAACTATCAAAAAAAATTTGTGAAACACTTTAAAAATGTTGTAAAAGAAAGTTTAGAAATAAATGTATGAAAGTTATAAAAAAATATATGAAAATGTAAATAAAAAAAAACAAGTTAAATACTTGTTAGAAAATTTTATAACATTTATAAAATATTTGGTTTAAAAACACTTATATTAAAATTATATGAAAGAATAAGAAAAGTTAAAAAAAATTATAAACAAAGATTTGAAACATTGTATTAAAAAAACTTATAGGAAAAAAAATATCATAAAAATATCATAATAAATTATAAAAATATTTAAGAAATTTGTAAAAAAAATGTTAACATTTAAACAACTTTCTTTTTTTGTATACATTTGAAAATTTAACTTGTTAAATGTGTTTACATATTACAATTATACAAGTTAAATAGTTTGTATAAAAAAATTACCTAAACGTTGAAAAAGACGAAAAGATAATTGATTTCAAAAAGTTTCAAATATAAAGTCTAAGGGGGTATTTGACTTAGCTTTTTAGAGGCCAAAAGTCTTTTTTAGAAAAGTTACAAAAAATCAAGTTTTCCTGACTTTTCCAAAAAGTTGATTTTCCTTCTATCCAAAATCCAAAAGTAGCTTTTAAAAGTCTTTTGCCAAAACATCTTTTACCTATGATCTTTTCCCAAAATGGACTTTTGGCCTCTCGAAAGCTAAGCCAAACACCCGCTAATTTTAGTTGGGCCAGATTCATTTTAAGCCCAAATAGTAACGTAGAAGTCAAAATTTGAAAGTCAAACTACACCTACTGTTTATCTGCTAAGCAAACCCCTTCGGACAAATAATTTCCAATAATTTTCTCGCTCCTCGATCTATTGGTCATTAAATCAATCGACAAACCCCTGAGATCTAGTGATCCATCATAATCCTTCTTCATTCAATCCTTTAATCAAAGGTTCCGAATCAAGTTCCCATTTCATCGATCTTGTAAGTACCCAATCTGACTCGTTTTTTACTTCGTAGTATATCTCAAACTCGATTACTTTTTCTTCTTCGGTTTTCTGTAGATTTAGTTACAGATTCATACCCATTTGATTCGTCAATGGGAAGCAATTATAAACCAATCCCCAAAGATTCTTCTGTCGAATTGCAATCAAAAGACCAAGATAATCATGGATCTCAAAACCCTAAATCATCCCACATTGTAGATGATCTAGATTACGATGATCTAAACGATGAAATCGATTTTGATCACTTGCCCCTTGTAATTGTTCCAAAAGAAGATTCTGCTTCTAGTTCTGGTTCTGGGATCTATGGAGCTGTGTTTAATTTATCCACTTCCGTAATTGGGGCCGGAATCATGGCACTTCCTGCCACCATGAAAGTTCTGGGTTTAATCGTCGGACTCATTTTGATTTTCTTGATGGGTATTCTGTCTGAAATTAGCGTCGAACTCCTTGTCAGATTCGCTGTTCAATCTAAATCTAATTCTTACGGGGAGGTCGTTCAAGAAGCTTTAGGAAAACCAGCAAGAATTTTGTCAGAAATTTGTATCATAGTCAACAATGCAGGCGTTCTAGTAGTTTATTTGATCATAATCGGTGATGTAATGTCGGGTTCCCTTAGGCACACCGGTGTTTTTGATCAATGGTTAGGAAACGGGTTCTGGGATCACAGGAAAATAGTAATCTTGGTAGTAGTAATCATTTGTCTCGCCCCTTTATGTGCTCTCAACAAGATCGATTCTTTAAGCACAACTTCAGCCGCCTCGGTTGCCCTTGCAGTTGTCTTTGTACTCGTAGCTTTTATCGTTGCATTTATTAAACTCCTTGAGGGTAAAATTGGAACTCCAAGATTAACACCAGATTTCGGGTCGGAAAAGGCGATTCTAGACTTACTAGTCGTGATTCCGATCATGTCAAACGCGTACGTTTGCCACTTCAATGTTCAACCGATTTACAATGAGCTTGAAAACCGTTCGCCTCAAAAAATGAACAAAGTCGGGCGTCTCACAACCGCTCTTTGCGTTACAATCTACGCGTCGACTGCAATCGCGGGATACCTTTTATTCGGAAAGGACACGGAATCGGACATTTTGACTAACTTTGACCGACCTTTAGGGGTTCGGTTTAGTACGGCTTTAACATACATTGTGCGTGTTGGATACGTGTTTCATTTGGTTCTTGTTTTTCCAGTGATTCATTTTTCTTTAAGGCAAACGGTTGATGCGTTAGTTTTTGATGGATCGGCTCCCTTATCAGAGAGCCGGAAGAGGTGTTTAGGGTTGACTTTTGTGCTATTAGCAGTCGTGTACTTGGGATCCACGATGATCCCAAGTATCTGGACTGCTTTTAAGTTCACGGGGGCCACCACAGCTGTTTCGTTGGGATTTACTTTCCCGGCTCTTATCGCGCTCCGGTTGAGTAGCCAGGGTCCCGGTTTGAGTAACCGAGAGAGGTTTTTGGCTTGGTTGATGTTGAGTTTAGCTGTCATGGTTAGTGTTGTTGGGGTCGTTGGGAATGTTTATAGTTTGCAAAGTAAATCGGAGTGAGTTCATTCTACTCGATAGTAAAACTTCAACTGCTCTATGTTGGATTCGGTTAGGTTAGGTCAGGTCATACGAGTATCAAATGACGGGAGAAATAATTGCCATTGCGGTTATTTTTTATTGTAAGATGACTAAATTGCCCTTGCCACGAGAATAGATAATCTCCCGGAACAATATAATTGAGTTAGATACGGATGATAAAAATTATTTACCTTTTCGTTTGATTACATTTTGCTATTGTAATAATTCATTGTATTTGTTGTACAAGGGAAAATATTTAATATATGATACATCTTTTACGAGTATACTTTTGTTTAATGTGCATTATTGAAGATTTAGGATACCCATGTATTGGTAAATATAGTTTGGCTGAAATAAGTGATGTATATGAGCCAAATATTAAAAAAACGAGTTTTTTCTATAATAACTCAAATATTAGTAATTATTTCAGTGTAATCGTTGTCCAAGTGAAAACGTTTATATCTGTGCAAATCGGCTACAATATGTTGTAGTTTAGTCGAAGGTGATGCCCCCCAATGGTCATAGCTTAACCAGGGTCAACATCTTAAAGGAAAAAACTATTGGATGATAAAACTTGTCGATTGCCAACTTCAATAGTCGATATATCCTATATGACATACATATGGATATCCAATTGGATGATAATGATGGATAATAAGAGGATTGGATTGTTTTTAACTGGACTTTGATGCCATACCGATCCAATCCAATTATGATTGGATGTCCACTTATCGATTGCAAGCCTAGTAAGTACCATGTCACAAGATTTTACAAAACAACGTTGACATTTCCCAATCCAAACAAGATGGGTATTTTGATATGCGTTGAACCATGTACAAAGACTCACTCTCCCTTATCATCAAAAATAGCACTAAAAATTGTCTAGTAATGAAAATAGCTTTTGGGATTCCCAAAGATCGAGAGATGTAAGTTTTTCTATGTGAACAACAAGCTTAAGTGGGACCCAAACATCTCCAGCATTCTTTGTTGCAAGATAAACAGAAACAGGAATAACGCTGGCTAGCATCTTTCAAAAACCTTGTATAGCTTCTCCAAAGAGGCCACCTGCATAAACAATCCAAGGAATACCTTTTCACTACATATGCTACACAAAAACGTTCAAATGCATATTTATGCAAACATTTATAAATAGAAGCAGATGAGGGAAAACTTAATGATTTCACACGGACTCAACACCCAGCAAAGAACATTAAGAAACGGTAAAGCAGGGAGGGACCAAAAATGCCATGTAAATTAGTTAAATAAAGCTAAATGAAGAAAATAAAAAAGATGGCAAGGTCAACAAGGTAAATTCATATTCATACATACCTGCACGAACGTTCCATTTGTGGCCATTGAAGTTGGGGGCTTGAAGAAGAGCCGCATGGAAGGAAACAGAACATGCTGTATTGACCATTCTCGCTGGGCCCACGCATTCTCTGCTTCCGAAAGTAGCTCCTCATCAACTCCTTCCTCTACCATATCATTCCCTGAAATGCATTTCAGTGTTTTAAAAGGATAACTAGGCATCTCATGCTAAACAAAAATGGGTTAAATGCAAGAAATAGCAATGTACTTTTATTTATTACTATTTGTAGCATCCTGCTTTCATTTCTTCCAACCACAATGCCATTCAAATACAAACCATTTTTCACTCTTATCAATTGGATAGATTTGTCAAAGTATAATGTCCTAATAAGAAATAAACTGGAAGTCCAATGCTATTGCTAAAACCATATAGATTTTCAATGTGAAAAATTGAAAGCAATAGAAAAAAATGACCCTCTCTAAAATATATCCCTATCTTTGTATTTGTGCTGAAAATGCCCCTGTGAAACCCTCACTTCTCACTACAAGGGAAATGGACTTTGAATGGGAATGGTTAAGGGGTATTTAGTTTTGTAGTGGCATTTTCAGCACAAACCCAAAGATATTTTCTCAAATTTCCCTTTAACTCAAAAGTGGATGCAATGTACACAAATCAAACAAGTTAAAAAACCTTAGAACGCCAAAAAAAATGTCACTAAATGAGTAATTGGACAATAGTTTAGGGACCAATTTCAACCTTAACCCAACTTTTAGTCTAATTTAAATTTCGACCCTAATTTAAAAAAGTAGGTACCGATCAATACCTCCTGAAACATTTCCTTTCTCTTGTCTTTTATAAAAATCTGAACCTCCTTCACTTGATGGATTTGGCAATAGAGGTGGATGCATAGCATAGAAGTTTCCAAGAGCAGCAGCAATTGTTTGAAAGCAAACTTTCTCATCATTCCATGTCACCTAAACAAGATATAATCATGTATTTATATGTGTGCATGGTTGTATATTTGAATATATGTTGGCATGTTTATGGTGTAGCTTACATCATTTCCCAGACAAAGAAGAAATTCTGGAGCACGATCCATGTCAGGTGTGTACTGGTCAAGTATGACAGGAAGCCTTGACAAATTGGCTTGTGGATCCACATGAATGCCAAAATATTCATCCAGCAATTCAGATTTCTCACTTAGAAGCTTAGCATTCATCTGTGTACATACATACAGGTCATTAAATGATGATCATAATGCTAAAACGAGAGGAACCTCAAACTGAGAGACTTACTTGGGCTATCTTTACTTTTAAGTCATCATTCTCAATGCCTTCTGAATCCGGATCTTCTTCAGTCAGTGCCAGCATGATTAGTTCTTGCAATGGAGCAGGCTCACTTAACTGTATTGCATTGAAGTAACCAAATCGTTGCAGAACCAGTTGATACATGAGCTCTTTGCTACAAAAAAGAAAGAAGAATTTAGTGCCTAACCTATAAGAACTCTGCAAACTTAACTATACATAGATATATGAAGTAGTTAGCAGAAACAGATCAGACATATTACCTCAAATTTACAACATTGGCAAGATATAGATGGGTATTATGCTGAAGGAGAGCAAAATCATCATCAGCCATACCAACATACGTGCAGTTCCTTACAGTGTCCAAAAGACCTAACAAAAAGAACCACATCAGACATCAACAACACAAGATTATGCGTATATAGTTCATAATGAATGGGTTATCAAGGGTACCAGAGTGACAATCACGTTCAAATTCATCGATAAGTTCCTGAACACTTGTAAGATCAGCAGTTTCCTTCGGATTCCTCCTCTGTCTGATGGAAGACCTGCAGTTAGTTAATGGAAATGTACAGGTATGGTTATTTATCTGAAGATCTAAATATCCAAAGATAGTATAAAACCTACCTTAAAGAATTCAATCCACAACTGCTTTCATGGTGTCTAGAAGGCTTAACTTGCAAATAAGCATGCATCCTCCCAGAAGGATCCTGTGAATCTGTCCGCACCATCTTATTTACAGGTATTTTTTGCGACCCTTTAAGAAAACAAGTAACAACATGAAAAGATATATCAAGTCAAAACAAAACAAAGAGCATCACTTCACTTGCATAGTTGCATACCAGATGTTGATGTATTTACACAAGAAGCTTTGTTTGCAGATACTGAACTAACAGGAGAGCAATCCACTGCCTGTTCAAACACATAAAAGAAATTATATATTAGATGAACCAAACCAAAAAGAAAAGCAAGCTCTGACATTTCTATAATCAAAAGACTACCTGTTGCTCTTGATACGTGCTTGACTCGTTTAAGTTTCCTAGCTTCAATTCTATCACTGATTGTATCTTCTCAATAATAATCTCCTGGTTCAAAAGGCTCACCTGTATAAAAATTATAAGCTAAAGTTTAGAGTAAGAAGGATGTATTGGAAGCCTCATTCATTCGGTCTTTCATGCATTCATCAGTTACACAATTTTAAGGTGGTGAAACTAAAAAACAATGTGGATATGTCAAGAGGATAATACAAAAATCATGCAAAAAAACATCATTACCTCTCTCTTTGTGGGATGCACGTTAACATCAACATGCTCAGGAGGCAAGATAAGTGACATATATATGAAAGGTTTTGATGCTTTGGGTAAAGTTGCAGCATAGATGATTTCAATTGCCCTCTTCAGAGCAGTACATTCGACTAATCTTTCTGTGAAAAAGTGAGGAAAAGTTAGGTTATAACAACAAAAATATTAGCAAGAATGTCAATATATCTGCACAAGTCAAAATTCAGAAGTTCAAGGGTGTCAATTATCACTGAACCACACAAAAGAAAAAAGTGCTGGAGCAAATTCACTTTTTCTTTGTTTTTTTTGTTACTTGTGTGTGGTTTCTCAAATTTAGAGAGGAAGGGTTTTGATGGTTTCTCAAAGTTGTGTGACACATTATACATACCATTGATAAAGAGAACCATGGTAGTCTTCTTTGCAGTGTAACTAGAGTCGGATATAAAGCCATCCATTTCAAAAACAGAAGTAGATGGATTAGCATCTGAAGCCTCTATCTTCATCAGACTGCGAGCAACTGAGACCCCATACACAGATCTGATTGCATCCAGCCTTGTAGACATAGCAACTGAGTGAACATCAGCTGCACCAGCTCCATGCTAAGAATCGGATAGTGGATATGTACAAGACATTAAAACCAATATTAAAAAATGTATGCAGTATGCCTCCCAAAATTATGGAAAACAAAACAATTATTAGTTTCAAATGCATGCAAAACAATTAGTTAAACTACTCACCTTTCTGCAGGAGAAGCTCACGTTTTTATGATGGATAGCAAACCGACAAAGTAGGTCAACGATTTTTGGATAATCGTCAGCAGAGTTCTGGAGAGTTTTCCTTCGTGCTATCATGTTATAAAATAAATTCTCAATCTGGTAAAACACACACACATCATCTAATCAAAGGGGGAGTAATGAAACAGATGAAGAATTGAAGAGATGTGAAAGAATGAATCCCAACTGTTACTTGAGTCCCCTTTACAGCAGCACACGCCTTAGGTTCATGCTCCATCACACCATCTCTGTATGATACCCTAACACACAAAAACCATAATGAAAACCAATTCCATGTAAAACTACAAATTTAAAGGGGTAATGAAAACAATATGCTACCTGTAACCATGCAACTGACCGCTGGTTATGGTGGAGACTGTAACATGAGCAACATAAGTCATGCTTGCTAAGGCTTCTCCTCTAAACCCCATCGACTTAATTGACTGTAAATCTTCAAATGCAGACAACTTTGATGTCGTATGCCTCTCACATAGAATCGGCAAGTCATCA